AATTATAAATCTAAGTGAATTGAGATGTAATTTATGAAAATCACAACATAAAAGAGGGGTGGGGCTATATAGGAGCAGTTTTTATGTACTATTAAAGCTAAATTGGTATTAGTCTGAACTATATTGTTATAAATTGAGGTAAATGGTAACCCCCAGGGCAATCACTAATGACTCAAAAATATATAGCAAGGGAAATGATTAGGGAATTAAAATTCTCCACAGAAAATAAAGCGAAACATGTATTTAACACAAAAGAAAGAAACACTGAAGAAACTAAGGACCAAGACAGCATGACATAGAAGACAAATGCCAAGATGGCAGATTTACCTCCTGACTTCTCAGGAATCCCACTAAATGGAAATGGATTAAAATCTCATCTTAAAAGGCAGATTCCGCTGGCAGGATGGTTAATATACCATGATCCACCTATATACTGTATATAAAAGACACAAAGGGCTGGAGGTAGGTGGTGAACATATCTGCTCTCATCCTGAACATACGCTTTTCATCTTCCAAGAGGAGATGCGTGATGGTCACTCAGCAAAGGGGTGTCCATTTCCCATCATATTCACCATCAGTCAAGAAAAACACACCAACTTCCTGTTTGACATTCCCCTAGAGATGCTAATAAATTGTTAAGTGAACTTACAAGAAATTAGGGAACAAAGTCAAAAAGCAGCAAACTGACTCCAACAATGTGTAAAAAAATTCTGTACATCAAAGCCAATAAAGTTTTGACAGAAAGTCTTAGAAATTCATTCATAATATAATTTACCACTTAATAGACAAAAGGGGGAAAGTATATGATCATCATTATATGAAGTATTTATAAAATTAAATAACATTATTTTTCAAATAAAAATATCTTAGAAATCTACTAATAGAGGACAAATTCCTCCAACTTGACAAAATGTGCATTTATAGAGGTGGGAAGGAAGTATCTCTTTGTCATCAAATAATATTTCTGGTCACCACTTCTATTCAACATTACATCAGTCAGGGCAATAAGAAGAGAAGAAGAAATAAAAGTTATAAATATTAGAGGAAGAAACACAAAGTTACTTATCTGTACAATCATCTATCAGACCTGTCCTATATGAAATATTAAATAATTGTCTGCACTGTTTGGCATAGTTTGTTAAAAGACCATCTTGGATTATCTATGTACATATTCCAAGTTTGTAAACAAAAGTATCAGCCTTGGGTCTTGATAAGAATTCAGGCCTAAGAGCACAAAATTGGGGAAAGAGCATCTTATAATGTTAAATGCTATAATTCACAATTAATAGTGTAATTAATGGCTAAGAACCAAAAAAAAAAATAGTAGCAATATTCATAGGCCAGAAATGATGGAAGATAATGGTGAACTAAATGGAAATATTATGTCACTTAGAATGCCCTCCAGACTAAAACAGGGCAAGCAGACTAAATGTACATAAATACATAGGATACTTAAGCAAAGAGTCTTAACAAATTTAATAATATGTATCATACTTTAGTATAACCAAATGTGCAGGATTTCTAGAAAAAATGCAATGAAAACATTAAATGACAGAATCTATGGGACCTAGTTAAAGGAGAGCTCAAGCCCACTTCACAGACTTAAGTGTGGATAATGATATTAATATTTATCCTTCAGGGTCCCAGCTGAAAAGAGACAACACATGCAAACAGCGTGATTCCTCTTTCTAATTCAGTGGAGTTTGCAGGGGTGAGCTGGCCAATGAGAACAAGAAGCTGT